ACAAAATGTGTCCTTACCTCTTCCTCAACTTAAACCACAGACACAATGTGTCCTTACCTCTCCATCAACCTAAACCAGACACAATGTGTCCTAACCTCTCCCTCGACTTAAACCCAGAACAAAATGTTTTCTTACCTCTCCCTCAACTCAATCCCAGGACAAAACGTGTCCTTACCTCTCCCTCAACTTAAACCCAGGACAAAATGTGTCCTTACCTCTCCCTCAACTTAAACCACAGACATAATGTGTCCTTACCTATCCTTAAATTAAACCCAAGACAAAATGTGTCCTTACCTCTCCCTCAACTTAATCACAGGACAAAATGTGTTCTTACCTCTCCATCAACTTAAACCACAGACAAAATGTGTCCCAACCTCTCCATCCACTTAAACCACAGATAAAATGTGTCACAACCTCTCCATCCACTTAAACCACAGACGTAATGTGTCTCTCTCCCTTAAGTTAATTCCAGGACTCAATATGTCCTTATCTCTCCCTCAACTTTAACCACAGACTTTATGTGGCCTTACCTATCCTTCAAATTAAACCCCGGAAAAATTGTTTTCTTACCTCTTCCTCAACTTAAATCCAGGACAAAATGTGACTTTAACTCCCCATAAATCTAAACACAGGACAAAATGTGTCCATACCTCTCCATCCACTTAAACCACAGATAAAATGTGTCCCAACCTCTCCATCCACTTTAACCACAGACTTTATGTGGCATTACCTATCCTTCAAATTAAACCCCGGAAAAAATGTTTTCTTTCCTCTTTCTCAACTTAAACCAAGGACATAATGTGACTTTACCTCGCCCTCAATTTAAACCCAAGACAAAATGTGTCCTTACCTCTCCATCCACTTAAACCACAGATAAAATGTGTCCCAACCTCTCCATCCACTTAAACCACAGACGTAATGTGTCTCACTCCCTTAAGTTAATTCCAGGACTCAATATGTCCTTATCTCTCCCTCAACTTTAACCACAGACTTTATGTGGCCTTACCTATCCTTCAAATTAAACCCCGGAAAAGGACATAATGTGACTTTATCTCGCCCTCAATTTAAACCCAAGACAAAATGTGTCCTTACCTCTTCCTCAACTTAAATCCAGGACAAAATGTGACTTTAACTCCCCATAAATCTAAACACAGGACAAAATGTGTCATTACCAGTCCTCTCCCTCAATTTAAACCCAGAACACAATGTGTCCTTACCTTTCCATCAACCTAAACACAGGACAAACTGTGATCTTTCCTCTCTCTCACAACTTAAACCCATGACAAAATATGTCTTTACCTCTCACTCAATTTATACCTACGACAAAATGTCCTTACCGTTTACGCTGATATGTAGAAACTTGCATATAACACGTTGAATAGTAGGTGCCTAGTTAACACAATGAATGATAGAAATATCAACAAGAAAGCACAGAAAGATCTATTGAAAGAGAGAATACGGATTGTAAACAACAAAATAGACGTATACAAGTATGACATAACAGAACTTTCTCACCGACACACTAACCCAACGCGTATCGAGTGACACTGTAGGGGATATGAACAAACACATTAAGCAATAACTGAACAACGCCACTCGACTAAATTTAACCGTTTTGTTTCCAGAAATCAACACAACACCAACACAGACGAAGCTCTGAATGATTCTATGTTTAAAAAATGGGAAGTCAACATCTCTAATAAAGAGCTCACTAGTAGCGAGAAAACGTTACGCGCTAAGGGTATGAACTATGCCATCGTTCAAGATAAAATCCCAATTGATGATTTTGTTATAGCCACAGAACAAACATGTAAGAAACTAAGCTATGCTGAGGCTGATCAACTGAGATCCCGGGTGACGGGGGTTTTGAAATCCACAAAATTACCAACAAGTAATATGACGAAAAGAGAACGAGTACAAATCCAAACATTAGGCAGAAACAAATCCATTACCATACTACCAGATGACAAGTTGTCATGGACACCGGCGATTATGAGGTCAAGGTCATTACAATGCTACAGGACAACATAACATATAAACAGCTGCAGACCAATCTAACGCAAAAGCTTAAAAGGCGTCTCATAGCCCTACTATCAAAATTAAAACAAGAGAGCAAGATTACCGAGGGCCAATACATATATCTGTATCCCACAGCAGAGAACACTCCTAGAATGTACTGTACATCCAAGATCCACAAGCAGGGAAACCCACTTAGGCCTATTGTGGACTGCACTGGGTCCATTGGTTACAATGTTTCCAGATCATTAGCAGTCCAGTGTGACCAGTTAGTTCATGGAACATCTGGAGCAAGAAGCAATGTAAGCCCAGCTTATGGAAACGATATAATGACGACATACTTGAGATAATCAAGAAGGGTTCACATCAGGATTTGACCACACATATCAACACCATAGATGCCACTAACAACATCAAATGTACGTGTGAGGAAGAAACCAACGGCACAATGCCCTTCCTAGACTCTCTACTGGTAAAGGGAGAAGACGGAACCGTGAAGGTATTGGTCTTTAAAAAAAGATCCATACGGACCTGAACTTCAAATCCAGCCATCCTTTACAAGTGCGACGTCGTACGCACATTGCTAATAAGATGTGGTGCAATAGTCACAGAACAGGACAAAATAAAAGAGCAGAATCACATCGTTATGACAATTGGAACATGTGCTTATCCTGAATGGGCCCTTAAACGGGTACAAAAACAGTGTCAAAGTAAGGTGAACAACAAGAAAAGGTAAATCAAGGATAAGTGGTTATCCCTTATATAAAGGGTATATCCGAAACCATCCAGAGGATATATCGCGGTCATGGCATAACAACAGCCATGAAGCCCCACAAGGCGCTTCGTAATATTCTAGTACACCCTAGGGATAATACACCCAACGAAAACGTCGCAGAATGGCTATACAAAATCGGATGCAAATGCGACGCATCGTATATTGGAGAGACTGGAAGGCGTTTTGGGGTCCTCCTTGGTGAACACCGGAAAGATACGGAAACCCAAGGTATGAAATTCACCAGATCAGAAAGGTAGCAGTCGGAGTCCCAGATAAATAAATAGGCAATCACAGACCATGCCACACATAAAAATCATGTGACTTCAAAGTTTTGGACAGAGAGAGTTATCTGTGCAAGCGGCAGATAAAGGAAGCTATCTGGATACGCCAGAGTGAGCCAGTTCTAAATCGAGATGAGGGGGCTCAAAGACTCTCGCACATCTATGACCAAGTATTACACACAGCGTAGCCGAACATACGCTTACAACGTAGCCGAATCGACTCGATTCTGTGGACAACTCTTACACATTTTACACATTTGTGTGCATACGCTTCACTGATCATTTGTCTGATGAAGATGGCAGTGTACATATCGTACTAGTCATCTTAACCTCACATAGAAAATCTTATTGCTTCTGTAAAAAAAGAACTTTCATAATATTTACAAACTGTTTTAGCATCTAAAAGCCTAGAGGTGGTGGGGGATGGGTGATCTGTGGTAACACAATTCACAATTTTGAGAATTTTAAGAACCTTGGGACATATCCATCAATGAAGATTATTCGATTCCAGCAAATCAGGGACTGGAGAAGAAGATTGATTTTATTTTGTGAATTTTTACTCCTTAGGCCCTTAGGGGTAAGTCAGGGTCTCAATTTTCATACCGTCAAATTGCAATTACATGATGATACTTCAAACCAAGTTCGAAATATATCCTACTAAAATAAAACTTACCCAGGTATCATTATTCTAAGTAAACTATAGTAAACTTAACCCAGTGACCCAGTGACCCAGCGGTAATGCAATTCACAATAGATAAAACACATAAAGGCCATTCAATCTATGAAGGGTATTTTATTCAAGCATTTCCTGGTCTGAAGAAAGAAGTTTGTTGAAATCTTTCTGGCAGTTTGGTTTCCGACCAGCATTAAGTACAGTTGATGCAATTTTCACCCTAAATGCAATAATAAACTAAGCACTATCATCTAAGAAAAAAATGTATTGCTGTTTTGTTGATTTCAAGAAAGCATTCGACTATGTTGATAGAGCAAGTTTCTGGTCTAAACTTATCAAGACTGGAATCAGAGTTGTTAAATAGTTAAAATCCTGTGTTATAGTTAAAGGAATGTGTTCTGATTTTCCCCCAAACAATATGGGAGTATTACAAGGAGAAAATATTTTTCTCCTCTACTTTTTACTCTCTTTATTAACGATTTTGAGTCATTTTTTATTAATAATAATACTGATTACTATACTTTTGGTGAACTTACTCTATTCCTACTATAATACGCTGATGATTTAGTGTTGTTCCCAGAAAATGTCGAAGGACACCAGAATATGCTTGACACCCTTTATAAATATTAATCAGATTGAAAATTGACTGTTAACACTGATAAAACTAAAATTGTTGTTTTCCGTAATAGTTACAGAATTTTAGATAATGAAACCTGGATGTTTGATGGTGCTCCTATTGAAATAATAGATGAGTTCTGTTATCTAGGTATGCATTTTAGATATAATAATCATTTGAGTATTGTCCCAAGTTATTTATCTGGTCAAGGCAGCAAAGCTCTTTTTGCTTTATTCCGTCTTTGCGTATTGCAGTGTTATCTTCTCTTGTGAGTAGGTATTTATTGTTACGTCATTGGTTTGTGTGAGAAAATTACGTCGTTTTTTTCAAAAATTGATGACGTTGCTCTCACAAACCAATGACGTAACAATCAATACCTGCTCACAAGAGAAGATAACTCTGCAATACGCAAACAACAACAACAACAACAACAACACAAAGGGAAATACAAGTATTTTGTTAGGAAGTAAGTTTTATAAGCAAAAGCTAAAGATGTAAAATGATAGTTACTTTGGCGTTAGGAAGCACCGTGGGTAAATGTTTACACGAACGCATTATGTAAAGTAATCCTAGTGACAGAAGGAACCTTAATAATAAAACGTTTCCATCAAAGATAGGACAGAAATAACAACAATTCGATTTCGTTATATGTTTTTATTGAGATGGTATACTATTTGTAGAAAACAGCTCAATAAGCTAATAGAACATTTACATGAGAAAGAAAAATTAACAAACATGATAGATCGGCGGTAAGGAACAGCCTTGTACATTGTAACACATTTGATGTCAGGTTTTTTGTGTAAACGCATAAATCTCAAAAGAACTTCAATTTATATACATATTATACACCACGCGACGGCAAAACAAGTATTGATCTTATCACTGTGGAGGATATCTCACGAATGTTAAATTGTAATGATACCATATAAACAAAGAGTTATTTCACTATTATGCAGTTCTGTTATAATCGGATTCAGCGAGTAGAATATACTTTGACAATTAACTCACGAAAGAGCATTTACAAGTAAATCATTAGAAATTCCCATGAATCTGATATTTGTTTATTTCATAACCAAGTTTTAGCCTAGCTATTCTACCAAACTCATGATTTGACATTACCGATTAGGGAGAATTCCATGTAACGGATGTCGGTAACGTGACACATAACGTCACATCGGCTGTGGTTATATCACGATAGGAAACTGTCACGAAATAAACCTATAACAAGCTGTTACAAATCTGTGGTTCTTATGATGCCATATTGATAGTACAAAAATCAAACCATTAAAATAAGAATACACTTCATTTCACCGGTTAACATTTTAATGGCAGGTAAGGAGAGCGCAGTCGGTTACCCGAGTGCTGGGGAAAATACATAATATCATGGCACTGATGTCAATATAAAACAATGATTATTGGCATTTTCCATAAAAGGTAAATTTACCGTGACACATATTCTTACAAATAAAAAGAAAGATAATCATGGCTACAAAGCTTACGACAGCTGTCAGAAACGTGCTTGTCTTATTAGACATAATCTTGAATCTTATCGGAAAAAAATGATACTTAATATCAAACATAGTTAAACAATATTATTGAGTTATAATCACGCTGTCATTGGTGTTAAGTTTACCAATCAGAACAGCGTAAGATATTAATGGGCATATAGTGTAGGGATTACTTTCATTGGTCGATTAAATGCGTATACAAATTAGCTGAGACGTAAGGCGTCCTTAACATAGAAACACAAACATTACTAGCTTTAAGAATAAGAAAACCAATGCCCATCACATGGGGATGTATATCCCGAAACACCGTGTGTATCCAAAAGCCGTACGAGAAACGTCTTCAAACACAAATACACGAAAGTGATATAATGGATTTGTTCAAATATATTGCGAGTATATCACTGGAAAAACATCCCGAAAGTATCCTGAACACAGCGTGACTTATAGTACAAAAAGTTATCGAAAAATACTGAATATGTACATAAAATAACACACGTGTTGACATACACAGGCATTACACGAAAGTGATGTTATCAACATGACTTAGACGAAGTGCAGTAGCCGACCCACCATATGTTGTATCTACATGTATAAGTATATTAAAAGATACGGATTCTTCTTAACGCGTGGGTGTTTATAGAGATCACATGATTTTGTAAAGCAGAATTCAAGTAGTACTATAATTCATATTTCCATCTGGTATGTCTCGATCAATAGGTATGATTGTGCAATCTTAATAAAGATATATAGTGAAGAATAATTGGTAAAAAAAACTACCTCCGAAGGACTTAGATAGAGTATAAAAATTATCTACGGAACCTGAAATTATGCAGAAAATGACTATTGTCGGTATGGTTCAATGTTCACCATACACGTCTACTAAAACTGCTGGCAGCTTCTTCCTCTGATCCTTAGTGTTCACCATACACGTCTACTAAATCTGCTAGCAGCTTCTTCCTCTGTTCCACCGTCGCAAATGAAGCTCTCGCTGCGTTGAATATCTGGGAAAAACACAAGGCAAAAACAGATGTCATTTACATTCAACAGCAGTATGACGAAACGTTTTCATCTTAAACCCTGTTTCGCAAACACCCAATAATGTGAGTATCAATTCCTAAACGGTCTTTAGTTTCATACAGGACTGACAAGGCAAGCAGAACTTTTATTGGCAAAACTAAATTTCGTCTGAACATCTACAGATTACCTACCGATGTGATAATCTGTTTGTGTGGTCATCTACAGGTTACCTACCGATGCGACAATCCGATTGTTCTGACATCTACAGATTACCTACCGATGTGATCATCTGTTTGTGTGGACATCTACACATTACCTACCGATGTGATAATCTGATTGAGCGGACATCTACAGATTACCTACCGATGTGATCATCTGTTTGTGTGGACATCTACTGATTACCTTCCGATGTGATAATCTGTTTGTGTGGTCATCTACAGGTTACCTACCGATGCGACAATCCGATTGTTCTGACATCTACAGATTACCTACCGATGAGATAATCTGTTTGTGTGGACATCTACTGATTCCCTACCGATGTGATAATCTGTTTGTGTGGGCATCTACAGGTTACCTACCGATGTGTTAATCTGTTTGTGTGGACATCTACAGTTTACCTACCGATGTGATAATCTGCTTGTGCGGACATGTACAGGTTACCTACCGACGTGATAATCTGTTTGTGTGGACATATACAGGTTACCTACCGATGTGATAATCTGATTGTGCGGACATCTACAGATTACCTAACGATGTGATAATATGTTTGTGCGGACAACTACAGGTTACCTACCGATGTGATCATCTGTTTGTGTGGACATCTACAGGTGACCTACCGATGTGAAAAATCTGTTTGTGTGGACATCTACTGATTACCTTCCGATGTGATAATCTGTTTGTGTGGACATCTACAGGTTACCTACCGATGTGATAATCTGATTGTGCGGACATCTACAGATTACCTACCGATGTGATAATATGTTTGTGCGGACATCTACAGGTGACCTACCGATGTGAATAATCTGTTTGTGTGGACATCTACAGGTTACCTACCGATGTGATAATCTGTTTGTGCGGACATGTACAGGTTAACTACCGATGTGATAATCTGTTTGTGCGGACATCTACAGGTTACCTACCGATGTGATAATATCTGTTTGTGTGGACATTTACTGGTTACCTACCGATGTGATAATCTGTTTGTGTGGACATGTACAGGTTACCTACCGATGTGATACTATCTGTTTGTGTGGACATGTACAGGTTACCTACCGATGTGATAATCTGTTTGTGCGGACATGTACAGGTTAACTACCGATGTGATAATCTGCTAGTATATGTTTAAGCAATGATCTTTACATTGCAAGTCCCTGCCCATGTTCATGCTATGCTGTTAGTTGTATTGCCCGAACCCTTGTTAAGCGTGGATGTCCCACTAAACTCACTGTTTACGATTATGGTTAAAATCCCTTTTTCATATGTTGTGAATAGGACATCCATCTTACGAGGGCATATGACTTGGCCATGCAGTATTTCTATTCAATTTATATACATTTAATCTAAAATATTCAACAATAACTCATATCTACAAATACCTCTGCAGACCCTGCTGATTAAACGTATGGGTGTTGAACTGAATCCAGGTCCTAATAACTGGTGACTTAAATGTTGATATGCTAAGAACCCCACCCATTTCTCACTTATCTAGACTCTTAACAAAATTCAACCTAAAAGTATTCTTAATAAACCTACTAGAGTGACACCTGATAGTGCAACCTCTATAGCTGTTGCCTTTACAAATAATCCTTCCATAGAGAAAAATACACATGTTGACCCTGCTTTCTGTCGTGACCACTCCCCTATATATATGGAAGTTTGTTATGCTATCTTCAAACATAAAGCATAGAAAAAGACTGTATGGATGTATAACAATACTGACTATAATATTAAAGAATGACGAACTAAATGTTACTGACTGGAACTTAATGCGCAGGTTACCTACCGATTTGATAATCTGTTCGTCGCTTAGTCCCATTTGGCCGGCCATTAGGTAATCGTCAGCAAGCATATTGTCTAGAATGATAGGATCGTCCGTATTGAGTGAGAAATTCAATCCCTCGTTGGCGAACCTATTATTACAACAGCAAAATTATGTTAGTTATTATTTACTAGTAAATGTGTAAGTAACAAAAATATAACTTGTAATACTATTGAGTTCCAAAATAAGCTCATGAAAAGCAGACAACTGTCTAAACTAGAACTGTAAGCCAGAGGCTAATAAATACCTCCGCTCCTATCTAAATTAGAACTGTTAGCTAAAGGACAATTAAGACCTCCGCTCCTATATAAACTAGAACTGTAAGCCAGCGGCTAATAAATACCTCCGCTCCTATATAAATTAGAACTGTTAGCTAAAGGACAATTAAGACCTCCGCTCCTATATAAATTAGAACTGTTAGCTAAAGGACAATTAAGACCTCCGCTCCTATATAAACTAGAACTGTTAGCTAAAGGCTAATTAACACCTCCGCTCCTATATAAATTAGAACTGTTAGCTAAAGGATAATTAATACCTCCGCTCCTATATAAACCAGAACTGTAAGCCAGAGGCTAATAAATACCTCAGCTCCTATATAAACCAGAACTGTTAGCTAAAGGCTAATTAAGACCTCCGCTCCTATATAAACCAGAACTGTAAGCCAGAGGCTAATTAATACCTCCGCTCCTATATAAACCAGAACTGTTAGCTAAAGGCTAATTAATACCTCCGCTCCTATATAAACTAGAACTGTAAGCCAGAGGCTAATTAATTAATACCTCCGCTCCTATATAAACCAGAACTGTAAGCAAGAGCTGCTAATTAACACCTCCGCTCCTATATAAACCAGAACTGTAAGCCAGAGGCTAATTATTACCTCCGCTCCTTTATAAACAAAAACTGTTAACTAAAGGTTTACTAAGGCAAGAACTCAACATAAAGTTGACTGACATAGCTGAATTAAACATATCTGATGTTCCTCCGTTGACCATTCAATTACCTGATTTTAACTTTACTTTACATGAGCGAGGGGAATCAAGTGTTATGCTGAAGAACACAAATCCTCCTTTCGGGAATGCATTTCGAATTACCCTTCTCATACACAACTTTACACTGATGGTCCAAAGAAAGTGAGAAAGTGGCAGCAGCCTGATGTACTGTTAATTCTCACACTTCAGTTCGACTACCAGACGGCGCCTCCATCTTTTCTGCCGAAGCGTGCGCCATTGGTTTGGCCCTCGGCCATATCGATGAACGCCGCATTAAAAAGGCAATTATTTGTTCAGACCTTCTATCTGTCCTACAGAGTTTACAGTTACGAGATCCTAAAAACATACTCGTACAAATCCTTGCTCTTCGAATAACTCGTATCTTAAAAAAAACTAAAAATAACTTTACTGTGGATTCCGAACCATGTCGGAATCAAAGGCAACGAATTCGTTGACGGGGAAGCAAAAAATGCATTAAATCTCCAACAAACTAATGTCAAACTACCATTTACAGATTGTAAACTTATTATTCGTACAACCATTCAAAATGAAAGGCAGCAACGCTGGTCTCTCGAGACCAGCAAAAAACTCTTAAGTACAACCGAAACTAAAAACATCTATTCCCAGTCGGAAAGATCGCAGAGAGGAAGTTGTCCTCGCTCTGCTCCGTACTGGGCACACATATCCTACTCATTCGTACCTTTTAAAACGAGAAGGTCCACCTTCAAGCCACGCATGTAACACTCCATTTACAGTCGAACATTTTTTAATAGAATGTTCCGATTTTAAACACATTCGTGATTACTTTCGAGTCCCGGATACGAAAACTCTTTTCAGTTCCGTGGAGTCGAAGCCATTATTTAACTATTTGAAAGACATCGGTCTATTCTATAGACTCTGATGCCTTTAAATCCACCTTACCCTTTTTGACGTTTTATGTATCACATAGTCCATGTCATCTATTCGTTATCTTTTTTATTATTTCAATTTCTACACATACAATGCGAATGCTTTTAAAATGAACCTTTTGATCTAATTTTATCTTCGCTACTCACATGTTGTTTTAAAAAACAAAAATAAATAAATATATCACCATGGCTCTAAATGACCCAAACAAACAAACAAATACCAAGGCAAAGTATTGCAAAGCAATATACTCTCCCAGGTAGTTATCATATCTGAACATTTTCGTTGAAATTGGACCCATACGTTTGGAGGAGTTGTCCGGACAAGGATTTTTCATCAAAGGGTCATTACTTTATAAAAAAAAAAAAGAGGACAGAATGAAAACAAAATACATGGATGCACAACTTCAGGTGGTAGTTATCATATCTGGAAAGTTTCATTGAAATCGATCAATAACTTTAGAAGGAGTTGTCAGGACAAACTTTTTTTGTTCTACGGACAGACAGACAGACAAGCTGATTTCAGTTTTAACGGATGGACGGACGGCAGACCAAGGACGAAGGGTGATTTGAAAAACCCACCATCTGATGATGGTAAGCTAAAATGTATTTCAAAAAGACTTTTTATTCCATAATAAGGGAGATAACTCTATAAATGAAGGACTTTGTTTTACTTTTGTGTATAATTGAACTTGATTTAAATGTTCCTTAAACCTTGTTTAGTGTATAAAACGTTGACTACATTCCTATATTTCAGTGTAATCGGGGAGAAAAGAATAAAAGTAAGTATCATGACTCATTTTTCTGTGACTTTCAATCAGAGATATATATGGCATTATACGGTTTTCCATATTTTATGTCTTGGGCCATATTCGCATTATTGACGTTAGCAGTACATATGGTGTGTTCTATAGAATATCAGCAGTAAGATTCATCAGCTTGGAAACACGTGTTTGTACTGAAGTCGGGTCGCAAGGTTTCAATTTGACTGGTCTCTTTGTCAAGCTTGGCCTGAGTGAGCGATCTGCATCATTAAAAAAAGTATTAAAAACACGACCGTCTCCGGCTTTATCTTTGAGTGTTCACTGTGGCAAAAGAACAAATTTGAACATACTACTTTTAAAGTCAAACTGATATTTTAATGACTTTCTGTCCTTAGTTGTGAGGCAACAAAACTTACAAAACCACTTACCTGATGAGTGGATGTTTCTGAATGTCTACTGGGCATGCGCCTGTTATTATACTGGATGCTGGACAAATTTCAAAATGGACACAGTCTTTCTTACATCGGTTGTAGAGGTCCGGGTCGTCTGTGACGTGGTAGCCATGTCCGATTCTCTCAGCGTACATATGGTCTAAAGCCTGAGGGACATACAAGTTATTGTGTTGTATTTGAATGCTGTTCACAGCTTGCTTTCCAGTTGTGCTCAATCTATTGTTTGGCCATTTATGAGTTTGAAGTGTAACTTTAATGACACAAGTTATTGTCGATAGCCGGATGGTGCAGTGGATAGCGCATTTTCCCCTTCACCAAGGCGGCCGGGGTTCGATTCCCCGATCGGACGTAAAAAGGCTGGGATCACCTGCCCGATCATTTGGGGTTTCTCCCACACTAAGACCCACAGTGGATAGCGCATTTTCCCCTTCACCAAGGCGGCCGGGTTCGATTCCCCGATCGGACGTGAAAAGGTTGGGGTCACCTCCCGATCACGTGGGTTTTCTCCCACACTAAGACCGACAGGCGCTAACATCCGGGCCAACAAGAGTAATTAATTTAAGTTTAAATAAATTGTTTCATAATTGTTGTAAAATAAATGAAGTTTATATATTTATATATTTAATGACACAAGTTATAAAGCTATCTGTTAATGGTCACAATCACTATCAGATTGGGAAAACTTTTGTTTTCTTGTGCAAAATGAATTCCGACAAACTCATTACGTTCGTTTCCATGTCTTCTGGGTTCGTTGTAACTATCCCGCTTTTTTCTGTGCTAGCGTGATATGTATTTCATTTGACCAGAACATACATAGCAGTTGTGGAGGAGGAGAGAGGTTATCCTTCCGGAACACTTTTGTTAGCTTATATGCTGCCAAAGTTTCGCCGATTTTAGTTCTAAATGCGGGGTCGTTTACAATTCAGTGTTCCCGTTTTCTTTCTAGAACATGTTGCATTGGCTGTAATTTGATAAAATGAAAACCAAGAAATTAACAATACCAGTGAATGATACGCCTCATACACTTCGTATGTATATAGATTTGCTAGTACTATGAAAATACAGGAACGCCCTTCTGCACTGGTTTCCTTGGGAAAGGAAATTAACTGTTTTTTAGATTAAGAGACTTGGCCGAACAACTTTGATCGTAAAGTTCACAGTTTATGAAAACGAACATATTTTACTAATCCTAAAGTCAGATTGGACCGGCGAAAATAAACTCAATCGACCTCAGATGACTTTATTAGGATTGCGGCAAGCACATAACGATACAGATTAGCTAGGACTGCGGCGAACACATAACGATATAAATTAACTAGGACTGCGGCGAACACATACAATATAGATTAACTAGGCCTGCGGCGAACACATAACGATACAGATTAACAAGGACTGCGGCGAACTCATAACGATACAGATTACCTAGGACTGCGGCGACCACATACAATATAGATTAACTAGGACTGCGGCGAACACATAACGATATAGATTAACTAGGACTGCGGCGAACACATACAATATAGATTAACTAGGACTGCGGCGAACACATAACGATACAGATTACCTAGGACTGGGGCGTACACATAACGATACAGATTAACAAGGACTGCGGCGAACACATAACGATACAGATTAACTAGGACTGCGGCGAACACATAACGATACAGATTAACTAGGACTGCGGCGAACACATAACGATACAGATTAACTAGGACTGCGGCGAACACATAACGATACAGATTAACTAGGACTGCGGCGAACACATAACGATACAGATTAACTAGGACTGCGGCGAACACATAACGATACAGATTAACTAGGACTGCGGCGAACACATAACGATACAGATTAACTAGGACTGCGGCGAACACATAACGATACAGATTAACTAGGACTGCGGCGAACACATAACGATACAGATTAACTAGGACTGCGGCGAACACATAACGATACAGATTAACTAGGACTGCGGCGAACACATAACGATACAGATTAACTAGGACTGCGGCGAACACATAACGATACAGATTAACTAGGACTGCGGCGAACACATAACGATACAGATTAACTAGGACTGCGGCGAACACATAACGATACAGATTAACTAGGACTGCGGCGAACACATAACGATACAGATTAACTAGGACTGCGGCGAACACATAACGATACAGATTAACTAGGACTGCGGCGAACACATAACGATACAGATTAACTAGGACTGCGGCGAACACATAACGATACAGATTAACTAGGACTGCGGCGAACACATAACGATACAGATTAACTAGGACTGCGGCGAACACATAACGATACAGATTAACTAGGACTGCGGCGAACACATAACGATACAGATTAACTAGGACTGCGGCGAACACATAACGATACAGATTAACTAGGACTGCGGCGAACACATAACGATACAGATTAACTAGGACTGCGGCGAACACATAACGATACAGATTAACTAGGACTGCGGCGAACACATAACGATACAGATTAACTAGGACTGCGGCGAACACATAACGATACAGATTAACTAGGACTGCGGCGAACACATAACGATACAGATTAACTAGGACTGCGGCGAACACATAACGATACAGATTAACTAGGACTGCGGCGAACACATAACGATACAGATTAACTAGGACTGCGGCGAACACATAACGATACAGATTAACTAGGACTGCGGCGAACACATAACGATACAGATTAACTAGGACTGCGGCGAACACATAACGATACAGATTAACTAGGACTGCGGCGAACACATAACGATACAGATTAACTAGGACTGCGGCGAACACATAACGATACAGATTAACTAGGACTGCGGCGAACACATAACGATACAGATTAACTAGGACTGCGGCGAACACATAACGATACAGATTAACTAGGACTGCGGCGAACACATAACGATACAGATTAACTAGGACTGCGGCGAACACATAACGATACAGATTAACTAGGACTGCGGCGAACACATAACGATACAGATTAACAAGGACTGCGGCGAACACATAACGATACAGATTAACAAGGACTGCGGCGAACACATAACGATACAGATTAACAAGGACTGCGGCGAACACAACGATACAGATTAACTAGGACTGCGGCGAACACATAACGATACAGATTAACTAGGACTCCGGCGAACACATAACGATACAGATTAACTAGGACTCCGGCGAACACATAACGATACAGATTAACAAGGACTGCGGCGAACACATAACGATACAGATTAACAAGGACTGCGGCGAACACAGCTTTAATCAGATATCATTTAGTAGTTAGTATATCACAAGGAACAGCTATGTCAATTGTCTAAGAATGTACACTAGAAGAGAGGGTCACTTGATTTTTAGATGACTGGCAACCTTATTCGGGCAATCATGATGTTGATCAGCGGAAATATGAGCAAGCTACTCGGTTCTAGGGATGTGTATTGTATATGCGGAGACGGAACATGTTTGTAGATTATGTAGGAGCAGGTATTGATTGTTACGTCATTGGTCTGTATGAGAAAAGTACGTCGTTTTCTCAAAAATTGATGACTTTACTATCACAAACAGGTGACGTAACAATCGATACCTGCTCCCAAATGAAGATAACTCTGCAATACGCAAAGACGGAATAGATAAGTGAAACATTTTAACAATATTTTACAAGTGACAATATCAGTATCACTCCTCGGTTTCTATACAAGTCAGTTTCACTCCTAGGTTTCTATACAAGTCAGTATCACTTCTAGGTTTCTATACAAGTCGGTATCACTCCTAGGTTTCTATACAAGTCAGTATCACTCCTAGGTTTCTATACAAATCAGTATCACTCCTAGGTTTCTATACAAATCAGTATCACTCCTAGGTTTCTATACAAGTCAGTTTCACTCCTAGGTTTCTATACAAGTCGGTATCACTCCGAGGTTTCTATACAGGTCAGTATCACTCCTAGGTTTCTATACAGGTCAGTATCACTCCTAGGTTTCTATACAAGTCAGTATCACTCCTAGGTTTCTATACAAGTCAGTTTTACTCCTTGGTTTCTATACAAGTCAGTATCACTCCTGTGTTTCTATACAAGTCAGTATCACTCCTAGGTTTCTATACAAGTCGGTATCATTCCTAGGTTTCTTTACAAGTCGGTATCACTCCTAGGTTTCTATACAAGTCAGTATCACTCCTAGGTTTCTATACAAGTTGGTATCACTCCTAGGTTTCTATACAAGCCGGTATCACTCCTAGGTTTCTATACAAGTCGGTATCACTCCTAGGTTTCTATACAAGTCAGTATCACTCCTAGGTTTCTATACAAGTCGGTATCAATCCGTGGTTTTTGACATATTCACTGACCTCCCTGACTCCCTCTGACGGCCCGTTCTCTCCTGCATGGACGGTCCTGTGGATTCCATTATCGTACGCTTTCTACAACATCAACACAGCCAACACATATTTACAACAGATAACAGTTAAATGTCGTAATACAATGTATGCTGTTGTGGGATCAGTATGTGGGCATGTCTTTCAAATCAGATGTAAATGGCCAAGTGTCAGGTATTTGCTAGGTTAAAAATCCTCCTCATTACGTTTGTGATACCCCTTAAGGATAAGGGTAAGAGGAGGCTTACTTTTGATACAGGATAGGGGAGGTTTACCTTTGGTACGGGGTAGTGGAGGCTTACCTTTGGTACGGGGTAGGGGAGGCTTACCTTTGGTACGGTGTAGTGGAGGCTTACCTTTGGAACGGGGGAGAGGAGGCTAACCTTTGGTACGGGGCAGAGGAGGCTTACCTTTGGAACGGGATAGAGGAGGCTAACCTTTGGTACGGGGTAGTGGAAGCTTACCTTTGGTAGGGGGTAGAGGAGGCTATCCTTGGTACCGAATAGTGGAGGCTTACCTTTGGAACGGGATAGAGGAGGCTAACCTTTGGTACGGGGCAGAGGAGGCTTACCTTTGGTACGGGATAGATGAGGCTAACCTTTGGTACGGGGTAGTGGAAGCTTACCTTTGGTAGGGGGTAGAGGAGGCTATCCTTGGTCCGGAATAGTGGAGGCTTACCTTTGGAACGGGATAGAGGAGGCTAACCTTTGGTACGGGGGAGGGGAGGCTTACCTTTGGTACGGTGTAGTGGAGGCTTACCTTTGGAACGGGGTAGAGGAGGCTAACCTTTGGAACGGGGTAGAGGAGGCTTACCTGTGGTACGGGGTAGAGGAGGCTTACCTTTGGTAAGGGGTAGAGGAGGCTAACCTTTGGAACGGGGGAGAGGAGGCTAACCTTTGGTACGGGGGAGGGGAGGCTTACCTTTGGTACGGGATAGAGGATGCTAACCTTTGGTACGGGGTAGAGGAGGCGTACCTTTGGTACGGGTAGTGGAGGCTAACCTTTGGTACGGGGTAGTGGCGGCTTACCTTTGGTATGGGGTAGAGGAGGCTTACCTTTCGAACGGGGTAGAGGAGGCTAACCTTTGGAACGGGGTAGAGGAGGCTTACCTTTCGAACGGGGTAGAGGAGGCTAACCTTTGGTACGGGGGAGGGGAGGCTTACCTTTGGTACGGGATAGAGGAGGCTTACCTTTGGTACGGTGTAGTGGAGGCTTACCTTTGGTATGGGGTAGTGGAGGCTTACCTTCGGTACGGGGTAGTGGAGGCTTAACTTTGATACGGGGTAGAGGAGGCTTACATTTGGAACGGGGTAGAGGAGGCTTACCTTTGGTACGGGGTAGAGGAGGCTTACCTTTGGAACGGGGTAGAGGAGGCTAACCTTTGGTACGGGGTAGTGGAAGCTTACCTTTGGATACTTTGTATGTCATGTTGTGTATACATACAGGATTACGTTAGGCGAAGACTGACCTTAAATGCTATTTTGTGGCTACATAGTTGAGGGTCCTTGCCTGGTATAAAGTCCTGTCCAGCACTGTCTATGGCTACGACTCCCCTGTGCTTGAACTCTTTACACAGATCCACAATCTCTGCCGACCATTCTGTGAACAAATCGTGATTATTTTGGCAATCACTTGTAACTTCAAATCACAGATAAAACGACAGACAGGCAGAAATAGCTTGAACGGTAGGCAACTCTTTTTTATAATTTTGTTTAATAATTCCAACTGAAACAGTTGCATGTATACATAGATAGGTAGGTCAGTATACACATATAGGTAGGTCAGTATACACAGACAGGTAAATCAGTATACACATACAGGTAGGTCAGTATACACATATAGGTAGGTCAGTATACACAGACATGAAGGTCATTATACACAGACAGGTAGGTCAGTATACACAGACTGGTAGGTCAATTTACATAGACAGGTAGGTCAGTTTACATAGACAGGTAGGTCACTTTACATTGAAAGGTAGGTCAGTATACACAGACAGGAAGATCACTATACACAGACAGGTAGGTCAGTATACACAGACTGGTAAGTCAGTTTACATAGACAGGTAGGTCAGTTTACATAGACAGGTAGGTCAGTTTACACAGACAGGTAGGTCAGTATACACAGACAGGAAGATCATTATACACAGGTAAGCTGTGTAAAAGTTAGATGTCAAGATAATTATGGGAAGAGAGGAAACACTTGGGATCTTACCTGGTTTATGCGTCATACAGCACAGTATTGAGTTTACTGTCAGGTTGAAATCGATACTTCCTTTTTCCAAAGCGTCACAGACCGTTGCTACCACGTCTCTGGGAGAGAAGTCTCCGCGTGTCAGAGCGTAGTCTGGCTTTTCCAGGGAGTTGGATAACAGATGGGGGTTATATCTCACCTCGACGTACCGTATACCAGAATTCGCACAATCTTCACAGAACTCGTATGCAATTCTGAACACGGCATCCCTATCGCCACTACAACAAGTACAACGCATAGTCATCATAGACCTATTTCTCTTCGCCAAGAAAAAAAGGTAATAAGTTAATACATAGCGTACCAGGTACAAACTTGAATTATAGGTCCGAGTCAAATTCCCTTAGTTTTACTTTCATTGCTTCTAAACTAACATCTCAATCTCATTAATTTTTTCTCAACATTTCATTAACATAAGTATTCTCATTATATTTATGAAGGTCGATTTTCGTGTTATGCTTATTAGTGTACCCTGTACTTTTTCAAGGGTATGCGTGTAAATCTTTCCTTTGGTCACATTTGCCCATATTTTCATCCATTTTGAGTTCAAGTTTTGTTGACACTTTCGTGTTTTCGTGTTTTTTGTTTTTGTTTAGAATTTAAGTTATATGCGCATCATTTCTCACAGTTTGACCTGCTTAAAATGAAGTCATTTGTTTTCTTCTTGACAATAACAAGGGGCCCAGATGGCCTGTATCGCTCACCTGAATATGTTTAAATAATTGGTATGAAGTAAAAGATATAGCACTCCATGGTAGGTGCTGTAAGTACATATGAACTTCAGAAAGATCCATCCAGTAATTAAGATATAGCGAGAACAAACTCCAAACAGAGCCCAACCCCTATGCCCCTAGGGGGTGGGGGTGGGGGGGGGGGGTCATTCCCCACCAATTATAAAAAATAACCCTTGGCCCAAGAATGCTCCCGACTAAATAAGGATAAAATCCCTTAATCCCAATGGTCGAAGAAGGATTTTAAAGGTTTTACCTCTATTTCTCCTATTGGGCCCCGCCTTTCTGCCCCCTGGGGGAGACCACACCCACTGCTTATACAAAATTGAGTCCCTTTGTCCCAAGGATGCTCTTGACTAAATTAGGATAAAATCCCTATGGTAGAAGAAGGATTATAAAGGTTTTACCTCTATGTCCCCTATTGGGCCCCGCCCCTCAGTCCCTAGGGGCCCAGACCCACCATTTATACAAAATTGGTTCCCCCTTACCCAAGGATGCTCCACATTAAATATGGACCAAATCGTTTCATTCCTACAGAAGGAGAAGGATTTTAAAGAATTTGCTATGTTTCCCCTATTGGGCCCCGCCCCTCAGCCCCCAGTGGGGCCAGACCCATCATTTATACAAAATTGAGTCCCTTTGGCCTAAGGATGCTCCAGGACAAATTTAGTCAAAATATACTTGGCCGTTCAGGACTAGTAACGTTTTAAAGAAAAGTTGACAGACGGACGACGGACGCCACGGTATGGCATAAGCTCACCATTGTCCTTCGGACCAGGTGAGCTAAAAATCAAACATGACATACTAACCAAACACAGCATGTGACGTCATACTATTCCCAATACTTACAGTATAACTGTACACAGCATGTGACGTCATACTACTCCCAATAGTTACAGTATAACTGTACACAGCATATGACGTCATGCTACTCCCAATAGTTACAGTATAACTGTACACAGCATGTGACGTCATACTACTCCCAATAGTTACAGTATAACTGTACACAGCATTACAAGATTCTTGGCAAAACTTTAGTTTGACTTCTCTTAGTCGTTTTCAATAATCTTAATGTAGATATAAAACAAGGACGTTTGTCTGTCTTTTTCCAAGTTAATAAAGATATAAAACAAGGACGTTTGCCTGTCTTTTTCCCAGTAAATATAGATATAAAACAAGGACGTTAGGTTGTTTTTTTCCCAGTTAATATAAATGTAAAACAAGGACGTTTGTCTGTCTTTGTCCCAGGTAATATAGATGTAAAAACAAAGAGGTTTGTCTGTCTTTGTCTCAGTTAATAAAGATATAATACTAGGACGTTTGCCTGTCTTTTTCCCAAATAATATAGATATAAAACCAGGACGTTTCTCTGTAATTGTCCCAGTTAATATAGATATAAAACCAGGATGTGTGTCTGTCTTTGTTCCAGTTAATATAAATGTAAAACAAGGAAGTTTGTCTGTCTTTGTCCCAGTTAATATAGATATAAACAAGGACGATTGTCTGCCTTTGTCCCTGTTAATATAGATATAAGACCAGGACGTTTGTCTGTTTTTGTCCTAGTTAATAAAGATATTAAACCAGGAGGTTTGTCTGTCTTTGTCCAAGTTAATATAAATGTAAAACAAGGACGTTTGTCTGTCTTTATCCCAGTTAATATAGATATAAGACCAGGATGTTTGTCTGTTTTTGTCCCAGTTAATATAGATATAAAACCAGGATGTGTGTCTGTCTTTGTTCCAGTTAATATAAATGTAAAACAAGGAAGTTTGTCTGTCTTTGTCCCAGTTAATATAGATGTAAAAACAAGGAGGTTTGTCTGTCTTTGTCCCAGTTAATAATGATATAAGACCAAGACGTTTGCCTGTCTTTTTCCCAGTTAATATAGATATAAGACCAGGACGTTTGTCTGTCTTTGTCCCAGTTAATAAAGATATAAGACCAGGACGTTTGTCTGTCATTGTCCCAGTTAATAATGATATAAGACCAGGAGGTTTGTCTGTCTTTGTCCCAGTCAATAAGGATATAAGACTAGGACGTTTGTCTGTCATTGTTTGAGTTAATAATGATATAAGACCAAGACGTTTGTCTGTCATTGTCCCAGTTAATATAGATATAAGACCAGGACGTTTGTCTGTCTGTCCCAGTTAATAAAGATATAAGACCAGGACGTTTGTCTGTCTTTGTCCCAGTTAATATAGATATAAAACAATGACGTTTGTCTGTCATTGTCCTAGTTAATATAGATATAATACCAGGACGTTTGTCTGTCTTTGTCCCAGGTAATATAGATATAAGACAAGGACGTTTGTCTGTCTTTATCCCAGTAATATAGATATAAGACCAGGACGTTTGTCTGTCTTTGTCCCATTTTATATAGATATAAAACAAGGACTTTTGTCTGTCTTTATCCCAGTTATTATAGATATAAAACAAGGACTTTTGTCTGTCTTTGTCCCAGTTAATATAGATGAAAAAGCAAGGACGTTTGTCTGCCTTTGCCCCAGTTATTATAGATATAAGACCAGGACGTTTGTCTGTCATTGTCCCAGTTATTATAGATATAAGACCAGGACGTTTGTCTGTCATTGTCCCAGTTAATATAGATGTAAAAACAAAGACGTTTGCCTGTCTTGTCCCAATTAATATAGATATAAAACAAGGACGTCTGTCTATCTTTGTCCCAATTAATATAGATATAAGACCAGGACGTTTGTCTGTCATTGTCCCAGTTAGTATAGATGTAAAAACAAGGAAGTTTGTCTGTCATTGTCCCAGTTAATATAGATGTAAAAACAAGGATGTTTGTCTGTCTTTGTCCCAATTAATATAGATATAAAACAATGACGTTTGTCTGTCTTTGTCCGAGTTAATATAGATATAACATCAGGGCATTTGTCTGTCTTTGTCCCATAATATAGATAAACAAGAGGCTCAATGGGCCTGCATCGCTCACCTGGTATAAAACTCACACTTGTAACCTTAAAAGTGATCTAAAAAAAAGCTACAGGCAAAATATCAGTATTTATGATTAAAATTCATTCAAAAGTCCCGGTTATTTTTTTTTTGGAACATTTCACCCCTGTGATTGAAAGTCGAACAAAGTCATTATGTTGAACACATTGTATAGCCTTTCATCTCAGGATGCAACTTGCAAAGTATAAACATCCTGGGACCCATGGTTATTCAGAAGAGGTTGTTTAAAGATTTAAAACAAATTTGACCCCTGTGACCTTGAATATAAGTCAAAGTCATTCACTTTAACAAACAAAGTAGTCCTTGATCCCAGCATATGTTACTGACTAAATATCAACATCCTGGGCCTTTTGGTTATTCAGAACAAGTTGTTGAAATATTTTGAACATATTTGCTCCTTGTGACCTTGAATATGATTCAAGGTCATACATTTATACAAACTTGGTAGCCCTTGATCCTAGTATGCTACTGACTAAATTTCATTACCCTGGGCATTTTGGTTATTCAGAAGAAGTTGTTTAAAAATGTTTAACATATTTGACCCCTGTGACCCTGTATATGGGTGAAGGTCATTCACTTGAACAAACTTTGTAGCCCTTTATCTCAGCATGCTACTGGCCAAATATCATCACCCTATGCATTTTGGTTATTCAGAAGAAGTTGTTGAATATTTTTCACATATTTGACCCTTGTGACCTTGAATATAGATGAAGGTCATTTATTTGAACAAACTTTGTAGCCCTTCATCTCAGCATGCTACTGGCCAAATATCATCACCCTGGGCATTTTGGTCATTCAGAAGAAGTTGTTTAAAAATGTTTAACATATTTGACCCCTGTGACCCTGTATATGGGCGAAGGTCATTCATTTGAACAAACTTTGTAGCCCTTCATCCCAGCATGCTACTGGCATTCATTTGAACAAACTTTGTAGCTCTTAATCCCAGCATGCTACTGGCCAAATATCATCCCCCTATGCATTTTGGTTATTCAGAAGAAGTTGTTGAATATTTTTCACATATTTGACCCTTGTGACCTTGAATATAGATGAAGGTCATTTATTTGAACAAACTTTGTAGCCCTTCATCTCAGCATGCTACTGGCCAAATATCATCACCCTATGCATTTTGGTTATTCAGAAGAAGTTGTTGAATATTTTTCCCATATTTGACCCTTGTGACCTTGAATATAGATGAAGGTCATTTATTTGAACAAACTTTGTAGCCCTTCATCTCAGCATGCTACTGGCCAAATATCATCACCCTGGGCGTTTTGGTTATTCAGAAGAAGTTGTTTAAAAATGTTTAACATATTTGACCCCTGTGACCCTGTATATGGGTGAAGGTCATTCACTTGAACAAACTTTGTAGCCCTTCATCTCAGCATGCTACTGGCCAAATATCATCACCCTATGCATTTTGGTTATTCAGAAGAAGTTGTTGAATATTTTTCCCATATTTGACCCTTGTGACCTTGAATATAGATGAAGGTCATTTATTTGAACAAACTTTGTAGCCCTTCATCTCAGCATGCTACTGGCTAAATATCATTACCCTGGGTAGTTAGGTTATTCAAAAGAAGTTGTTTAAAATGTTTAAACATATTTGACCCCTGTGACCTTGAATATGGATAAAGGTCATTCATTTGAACAGTCTTTGTAGCCCTTCATCTCAGCATGCTACTGGCGAAATATCATTACCCTGGGCATTTTGGTTATTCAGAAGAAGTTGTTGAATATTTTTCCCATATTTGACCCTTGTGACCTTGAATATAGATGAAGGTCATTTATTTGAACAAACTTTGTAGCTCTACATCTCAGCTAGCTACTGGCCAAATATCATCACCCTATGCATTTTGGTTATTCAGAAGAAGTTGTTTAAAGTTTTAAACATATTTGACCCCTGTGACCTTAAATATGTATAAAGGTCATTCATTTGAACAAGCTTTGTAGCCCTTCATCTCAGCATGCTACTCGCTAAATATCATTACCCTGGGTAGTTAGGTTATTCAAAAGAAGTTGTGTAAAATGTTTAAACATATTTGACCGCTGTGACCTTGAATATGGATAAAGGGCATTCATTTGAACAGGCTTTGTAGCCCTTCATCTCAGCATGCTACTCGCTAAATATCATTACCCTGGGTAGTTAGGTTATTCAAAAGAAGTTGTGTAAAATGTTTAAACATATTTGACCCCTGTGACCTTGAATATGGGTGAAGGTCATTCATTTGAACAAACTTTGTAGCCCTTTAATCTCAGCATGCTACTGGCTAAATATCATTACCCTGGGCATTTAGGTTATTCAGAAGAAGTTGTTTAAAATGTTTAAACATATTTGACCCCTGTGACCTTAAATATGTATAAAGGTCATTCATTTGAACAAGCTTTGTAGCCCTTCATCTCAGCATGCTGCTGGCCAAATATCATTACCCTGGGCATTTTGGTTGTTCATACGAGGTTGTTTAAAATTTGTAAACATATTGGACCCCTGTTACCTTGAATATGGGTGAAGGTCATTTATTTGAACAATCTTTGTAGCCCTTCATCTCAGCTAGCTACTGGCCAAATATCACCCTGGGCATTTTGGTTATTCAGAAGAAGTTGTTTAAAGTTTTTAACATATTTGACCCCTGTGACCTTGAATATGGGTGAAGGTCAATCATTTGAACAAACTTCATAGCCCTTCATCTCAGCATGCTACTGGCCAAATATCATTAACCTGGGCATTTTGGTTGTTCAGAAGAGGTTGTTTAAAATTTGTAAACATATTGGACCCCTGTGACCTTGAATATGGGGGAAGGTCATTTATTTGAACAATCTTTGTAGCCCTTCATCTCAGCATGCTACTGGCCAAATATCTCCCTGGGCATTTTGGTTATTCAGAAGAAGTTGTTGGATGTTTTTCACATATTTGACCCTTGTGACCCTGTATATGGGTGAAGGTCATTCATTTGAACAAACTTTGTAGCCCTTCATCTCAGCATGCTACTGGCCAAATATCACCCTGGGCATTTTGGTTATTCAGAAGTTGTTTAAAAATGTTTAACATATTGGACCCCTGTGACCTTGTATATGGGTGAAGGTCATTCATTAGAACAAACTTTGTAGCCCTAAATCTCAGCATGCTACTGGCCAAATATCATCACCCTGTGCATTTTGCTTATTCAGAAGAAGTTGTTTCACCCTGGGCATTTTGGTTATTCAGAAGTTGTTTAAAAATGTTTAACATATTGGACCCCTGTGACCTTGTATATGGGTGAAGGTCATTCACTTGAACAAACTTTGTAGCCCTTCATCTCAGAATGCTACTGGCCAAATATCATAACCCTGTGCATTTTGGTTATTCAGAAGTTGGTTAAAAATGTTTAACATATTGGACTCCTGTGACCTTGTATATGGGTGAAGGTCATTCACTTGAACAAACTTTGTAGCCCTAAATCTCAGCATGCTACTGGCTAAATATCATTACCCTGGGTATTTAGGTTATTCAGAAGAAGTTGTTTCACCCTGGGCATTTTGGTTATTCAGAAGTTGGTTAAAAATGTTTAACATATTGGACTCCTGTGACCTTGTATATGGGTGAATGTCATTCATTAGAACAAACTTTGTAGCCCTAAATCTCAGCATGCTACTGGCCAAATATCATAACCCTGTGCATTTTGGTTATTCAGAAGTTGGTTAAAAATGTTTAACATATTGGACTCCTGTGACCTTGTATATGGGTGAAGGTCATTCACTTGAACAAACTTTGTAGCCCTAAATCTCAGCATGCTACTGGCCAAATATCACCCTGGGCATTTTGGTTATTCTGAAGTTGTTTAAAAATGTTTAACATATTGGACTCCTGTGACCTTGTATATGGGTGAAGGTCATTCACTTGAACAAACTTTGTAGCCCTTAATCCCAGCATGCTACTGGCCAAATATCACCCTGGGCATTTTGGTTATTCAGAAGTTGGTTAAAAATGTTTAACATATTGGACCCCTGTGACCTTGAATATTGGTGAAGGTCATTTATTAGAACAAACTTTGTAGCCCTTTATCTCAGCATGCTACTGGCCAAATATCATCGCCGTGGGCATTTTGGTTATTCAGAAGTTGGTTAAAAATGTTTAACATATTGGACTCCTGTGACCTTGTATATGGGTGAATGTCATTCATTAGAACAAACTTTGTAGCCCTTAATCCCAGCATGCTACTGGCCAAATATCACCCTGGGCATTTTGGTTATTCTGAAGTTGTTTAAAAATGTTTAACATATTGGACTCCTGTGACCTTGTATATGGGTGAATGTCATTCATTAGAACAAACTTTGTAGCCCTAAATCTCAGCATGCTACTGGCCAAATATCACCCTGGGCATTTTGGTTATTCTGAAGTTGTTTAAAAATGTTTAACATATTGGACTCCTGTGACCTTGTATATGGGTGAATGTCATTCATTAGAACAAACTTTGTAGCCCTAAATCTCAGCATGCTACTGGCCAAATATCACCCTGGGCATTTTGGTTATTCAGAAGAGGTTGTTTAAAGTTTTAAACATATTTGAGCCCTGTGACCTTGAATATGGATAAAGGTCATTCATTTGAACTAACTTTGTAGCCCTTCATCTCAGCATGCTACTGGCCAAATATCATTACCATGGGCATTTTGGTTATTCAGAAGAAATTGTTATAATTTTTTTAACATATTTGAGCCCTGTGACCTTGAATAAGGGTGAAGGTCATTCATTTGAACAAACTTTGTAGCCCTTCATCTCAGCATGCTACTGGCCAAATATCATCACCCTGGGCATTTTGGTTATTCAGAAGAAGTTGTTTAAAGTTTTTAACATATTTGACCCCTGTGACCTTGAATATGGGTGAAGGTCATTCATTTGAACAAACTTTGTAGCCCTTCATCTCAGCTAGCTACTGGCCAAATATCATCACCCTGGGCATTTTGGTTATTCAGAAGAAGTTGTTTAAAGTTTTTAACATATTTGACCCCTGTGACCTTGAATATGGGTGAAGGTCATTCATTTGAACAAACTTTGTAGCCCTTCATCTCAGCTAGCTACTGGCCAAATATCATCACCCTGGGCATTTTGGTTATTCAGAAGAAGTTGTTTAAAGTTTTAAACATATTTGACCCCTGTGACCTTGAATATGGGTGAAGGTCATTCATTTGAACAAACTTTGTAGCCCTTCATCTCAGCTAGCTACTGGCCAAATATCATCACCCTGGGCATTTTGGTTATTCAGAAGAAGTTGTTTAAAGTTTTAAACATATTTGACCCCTGTGACCTTGAATATGGGTGAAGGTCATTTATTTGAACAAACTTTGTAGCCCTTCATCTCAGCTTGCTACTGGCCAAATATCATCACCCAGGGCATTTTGGTTATTGAGAAGAAGTTGTTTAAAGTTTTTAACATATTTGACCCCTGTGACCTTGAATATGGGTGAAGGTCATTCATTTGAACAAACTTTGTAGCACTTCATCTCAGCATGCTACTGGCCAAATATCATCACCCTGAGCATTTTGGTTATTCAGAAGAAGTTGTTTAAAGGTTTTTTAATACAATTGACCCCTGTGACCTTGAATATAATTGAAGGTCATTCATTTGAACAAACTTGGTAGCCCTTCACCCAAGCATGCTACTGGCCAAATATCAACTCCCTGGGCATTTTGGTTATTGAGAAGAAGATGTTTAAAGTTTTTGACATATTTGACCCCTGTGACCTTGAAAATAGGTGAAGGTCATTAATTCTAACAAACTTTGTAGCCCTTCATCCAAGTTTGCTTCTGGCCAAATATCGACACCCTAGGCCTTTCGGTTATTAAGAAGAAGTCGTTTAAAGTAAAATATTGACGCCGGACGACGGACGGACGGACGACGGACGCCGCACCACGGCATAAGCTCACTTGGCACTTCGTGCCAGTTGAGCTAAAAACAAGGACGTTTGTCTGTCGTCCAAGTTAAAATAGATATAACACCAGGACGTTTGTCTGTCTTTGTCCCAGTTAATATAGATATAAAACAAGGATGTTTGTCTGTCTTTGTCCCAGTTAATTTAGATGTAAAAACAAGGAGGTTTGTCTGTCTTTGTCCATGTTAATAAAGATATAAGACCAGGACGTTTGCCTGTCTTTGTCCTAGTTAATATAGATATAAACCAAGGATGTTTGTCCGTCTTTTTCCCAATTAATATAGATATAAAACAATGACGTTTGGCTGTCTTTGTCCGAGTTAAAATAGATATAGCACCAGGACGTTTGTCTGTCTTTGTCCCAGTAAATATAGATATAAGACTAGTCTTTGTTGTGTTTGGCAAACTTTAATTTTTCTAAAGATGTTTTGCCGACACTTTTTTACTTATGGTAAGAATGACTAAAAAATGTTCCATTTTCATTTTTTGTCAATAATCCTGATAAGTACGGAATGGCTGCTGTTAGTATGCCCGCTATGAAGACGCAGTGTATACGTACGCTATTATAGGCATAAACACATTGAAGGTATGCAAGAATGCTTTCAGGCTACACGGCGTTTTGATGACTATTTCTTTGTCCAGAGTCTCCTGGTCGGTGATTATGGTCTGTTTCCCATCCTCGTCCGTTGAAATTATCGGTCGGTCTTTAGTTCTGATACAAATAACATTGAGTTCATTATAAATAGAGCGTAGTTTTTTTCGAAAGAGTTCAGGATCATAACGACGACAAGATGATCATTGGGTAAACTGAATTTTTAGAATCACAAAATGCTCTCTTGACCTATCGAATAAATCCCTTCTGTTTATGAACAGGACAAATGAATTTTTTTCTGATTTGAATGATACCCAATAAATAATTACTAGGAATACGAGGTAAGACTTATACAACATAAGCTGCAGAGCGACAAGCTACGCAAACATCTCCACTGAACCATGTGGCCATTTCATCCGGGACCCAGCAGTCGTATTTAAGATGAAAAGAATGAAGCTGTATGTCTAAGTGTTCCCGCAAATGACAAAGGGACAAAATCTGCCTGTAAAATCCTGCGTATTTAAAATTACCTTTAAGAGGACAAATGTCATGTTTGTCTTAGGCAGTGTGTACCTATAGTGACCTACAATGGTCACTGTAAGGTATTAATCTATCGCCTATCCGTCCAGTTTTCTACGTACTTACTTTGAAATGTCCAAAACGGTCTCTGATCTGATAGCTCCATCTAAGTGAATATGCAATTCAACCTGTAAATAAAGTAGAACAAACTAGATGGTAGGTTACCCTTAGCGATAATTTCGTCATTTTCACCACTTAAAATGTCCACATTAATCTATGCTAGCTTTAATATTGATATTTTGTTTTAGATCAGTCCCAACATTTGATATGTATAACTTAATGACCATGAGGAAACCACATGAGAAATTTTAGAAGGATCCATCCAGCGCTTTATGATAACATTTCCACCGGAAGTTTCTCTATAAACGCTATTTGATCAGCATCATTTTGAAGCTTCCCTTGTTTTGAAGAGCAGGGCTTACTCGTCAATGCACCACTTGCGTCATTTTCGAGGTACGATAATTATTTATCACTGTTATTTGCTACATATATATCTCATCAGCTCTGGAACAAAAGCCGCATACAGTACACGTCTTCATCAGCAGGTGGTAAGTTATTTATATCACGTAGTACCTATACCGGAATTTAGTGCCCCCATACGCCCTTCTCTGTACTCGGCCATGCCCTCCACATTCCCCGGGGTACATTAACCATGCCCTCCACCTCCCCCGGGCTACATACCTTGTAGCTGAACTTATCCCTGGCAGTGGTAGTCATGTCGCTGGTTCGACTAGCGCTGTACAACTTCCCAAACAGAAATGTCTATTTCAGGATGACAGACAGTCTTGCACACAATTGTGTATGGAAACCTAGTAATGACAACGAGGGTTTCAGTTTGTCGTTTTAGGAAGTAAACGTGTAGTTTATTCACATATTCATCAATCTGATTAAAATCATCTGTTGCATGGCTCCCTGAGCTGTTCAGACGTAGTACGATGTTAACGGAGCCATGTAATAGATGATTTTAATCAGATTGCATATTTGCAGTCTTTTCCTATTTTTCAAAACTTAAACAAGGGTATGACACAACAGTTATAGCAATAGACTATAATGTTTTAATATAATGTATTATTTTTATTTTTCAATATTTTGTTAAAATTCTGAACGATTTCATAAGAAAAGGTGAAAAGCTTGCCTATCCTTTGGTCCGGTGTAGGCTACAATGTTGCCAACAAACTATACTACGTCAGAAACATTGCCACAAAATAATATGCCAATATTGGTATGTAGTTAGAAGACTACGCGTCACTTAACAATAATAATAACAATTCAAGGTTCTTATATACCGCTTTATCACAACCTAGTTCCAGCACTGCCCAACCACGTACTCATTTACAGCTGAGTAGACTGGAACAAGCGGAGTACAGTATCTTGCCGTGCTGTGACTCGAACCCGCAACCCTTCGGTCACGAGCCCGGCGTCCTATCACTAGACTACCGTGTCTCCTTAACCTCTGTGATTTCTTTCGGAAACCCCTTTAATTGAAGGTGTCATTCCTTATTTCAAAAACGATTATATTTGTATTCCAACAGATTAATATTGTATAGCAATTATGAAAATAATTAATAAAATAAGCCTATTGCCGATATTCCCCCACTCGTTGGATGCAATCCGTACCAGACTGGTCGAGGGGAGGCACCAGATGACCAGAAATCCATGTATCCCCTTTATACAAGGGATTAGGACTATCACACCAGACAAGTCAAGGGGAGTGACCAGATGACCAGCAATTCATTCATCCCCTTTATACCGGGGATTAGGGCTACCACATCGGACTTGTCAAGGGGAGAGACCAGTTGACCAGCAATCCATCCATCCCCTTAATACCGGGGATTAAGTCTACAAAACCGGACTGGTCAAGGGGAGTGACCAGATGACTAGCAATCCATCCATACCCGTTATACCTTTTATATCGGGGATTCGGACTAGCACACCGGACTGGTCAAGGGGAGTGACCAGATGACCAGCAATCCATCCATCCCCTTAATACCGGGGATTAAGTCTACAAAACCGGACTGGTCAGGGGCGTGACCAGATGACTAGCAATACATCCATACCAGTTATACCTTTTATATCGGGGATTAGGGCTACCACACCGAACTGGTCAAGGGGAGTGACCAGATGACCAGCAATCCATCCATCCCCTTAATACCGGGGATTAGGTCTTCAAAACCGGACTGGTGAAGGGGAGGGATCATATGACCAGCAATTCATCCATCCATCCCCTTAATACCGGGGATTAAGTCTACAAAACCGGACTGGTCAAGGGGAGTGACCAGATGACTAGCAATACATCCATACCAGTTATACCTTTTATATCGGGGATTAGGGCTACCACACCGAACTGGTCAAGGGGAGTGACCAGATGACCAGCAATCCATCCATCCCCTTAATACCGGGGATTAGGTCTTCAAAACCGGACTGGTCAAGGGGAGGGATCATATGACCAGCAATTCATCTATCCTTTGTATACCGGGGACTTATGTTACAAGGATGTATCCATTGGTGAAGATTATGTGTATAACGCACACATCTGAGGCAGTTCGGATATTACCTTTCCCCACCCTATCTTTATTTGTATGTGTCCTTTTATACTAACTAATGCATCCATTGGCAACGTATTTGTGAGCAGCCGTGAACATTGCTTGTATATTCGTAAACAGCCGTGAACATTGTTTCTATATTCGTAAGCAGACGTGAACATTGTTTCTATATTCGTAAGAAGCCGTGAACATTGTTTTTATATTCGTAAGCAGCCGTGAACATTGTTTTTATATTCGTAAGCAGCCGTAAACATTGTTTTTATATTCGTAAGCACCCGTGAACATTGCTTTTTTTATATTCGTAAACAGCCGTGAACATTGTTTCCATATTCGTAAGCAGCCGTGAACATTGTTTCTATATTCGTAAGCAGCCGTGAACATTGTTTTTTATATTCGTAAGCAGCCTTGAACATTGTTTCTATATTCATAAGCAGCCGTGAACATTGTTTCTATATTCTTAAGCAGCCGTGAAAATTGTTCTTACATTTTGAGAACCTAAACATTGTATTTCATCATCTAGAAGTACTATTGTTTCAGTGGTATTCATTGATGTATATTTACATATGCGCTGCAACTCACTTTATGAACATTACCAGCAGAAACGCATTTCATTCGAGTATATTTCAATTCCTACTCAAGTTGGACTCAATGAAATTACCAAATGTAACCCGTTTCATTTGCCCATGAATTTGACGAGATTAACATTGCCTGTGCGTATGATTTTGCTAAGGGGGATAACTATTGATATGTTTAAACAAAGATTTCACATTTTTATTGAAGCAACACAAGAAATTGTTCAAACAACCAAAAATGATAAATCAGTTAAGATATTATCAGCTCACAGTTCCTAGTGGTAGTGATAGGTCATGTTCTGCCCTAGAAATTATTCCTCCAGCTACCGATTCTGCCTTGTGTAAGCAACGTAGATCCACCGGGGTTCGGTACAAATGTCTGAAATACACATATCGTGTACATATAAATGGATGTTTATGTGTGCTGTGACCCATATCAGTATAGCATGTGCATTACAAACATTTGTAACGAACCCCTGTGGTAGATCCATGTGGTCTCATCTTATATTAAATACAGTCGAACAGCCAAATGTCATATCAAATGTTTCGTATGTTCAAGCCACGTCTGGTTTCCTGTCTAATTCAACGTTCAATTACTGCAGCTTCACATCCCAGAAGATGCGGAATCTCGAAATTTAGAGGCTCTCCACTTCGAGCTAGTAAAAAGATGGCTGCCGTAGACTCGCAGCTGAGCCTGTGCACCGCGTCTAGACATTATTATTCCGCGATGACGCATCAGAACTTTTGATATCATATAATTTCATCAATAAAAAATAAATAGGATATTTACAATATGGTTTCGTGTTTTGTTTCTATATAATGTGGCTGTATTGAACTATCAACGTACTCCATCATGTTGTATGATGGTCCTTCAATAACGGACTATATTTTTTGCATTACGTCAATACGTAGACTTGCACAAGTTCCAGTACCTGGGACAAACGATCAGGATGGACTTGATAAGTATCAATTATTTAAAACAAAAACCACGATTGAAATATAAGGAATGAATCTTGCTTTGGTCGATTTCATGGGGTGATGAATTGAGTTGGTCTTTAAACAAATTCCATTAAAGGACCTGTTACAGGAACAAAAGAATTTTGCCCACAAAGCAACTTAACCATTACTGGGTTATATTTGTAGCTCCCTAAGACACGACCCATGAGATATTTTTAAAAAATGAAAAAGGTCCCCAGGGCCTGTGCTATGAACTATTCAGTGATGCCTTCCAAAGGTGTACGACAGGGTTCACTTTTTTGTCCAAAAAACTATCAAAACAATGTTTTACGCTATCAAATAATATTATATTATTTAAAGTAGGATCTGCTGCAAATTATGAACTCAAATATGTTACAAAAAATTGCATAATAAAAAAAATATAAAATCTTAAACTCTAAAATTTTTGGTATTTTCATACATTTTTTGGCTACATCAATTGCTTTACGGTAGTAAAACACCAATGTCCGGTTCTTGTACACCAAAAATCTTTTAGTATTTTTGGTGCATTATGTTGAGATACGATAGTGAAAATTTCAGAAAATTTGAGAACCGGTAAATTTGTCATATAAATGTCAAATTGTAGCAACGTCTATATCCAAATAAAATCCAACAACCTTATGATCTATAGTCATGTTTGATAATTTAACAATATGTCGCACCAATTTATTATCGCAACTGATCAAATTTTCATCAATAAGATCTGCTGCTCATGATGAGCTCAATTATAAAGCTAGATGTTGCAAAATAGAAAAGTTATGCAGTCTCACACACATAAACGTTTAGTATGTTATGTACATTTTTAGTTGTTTCGCATCTTTATGAAAGTGATATACATATTTCCGGTTTTTGTACACCAACATACTTTGGATATTATTTGGCACATTATGTTGACTGACGATAGTAGAAATTTCGAAAAAATCGGTATGCGGTAAATGTGTCATTTTAAGGATAATATGTGTATGACCAATGTCAAAATAAACTTCAATAACTTCAGGTTAATGCAAGTATTTCATAATTAACCCAAAATCATTCCAATATACTATCATGGTGGATGATATGGTTCATAGTAGAGTATGACTGTTTAACTAAACTAGGTAGTTAAAGGGGAGGAATACAGCAAAAGTTAGGCAATTTGTCAGAACATTTGGTGAACCAGTATAATATGTTGAAGATATGTTAACCCATCACATTGTTTCTTTTTAGGAGAGTTATAGTTTCCAATTCATGGATTGTTGTATTTACTGTTGTTGTTTTTTAATTTGACAACACGTAGTCAAAATTGAACATTCAATTTTTTTTCTGAATTTCTCCTTTCTCAGTTCAATCTTAGGTCTTATTATTTTTTCATATTATTCCCGACAAGTAATTGACCAGAAGTGCATCAAGTGTCCACCGATAAAAACTGATATTGACTTGGAGCGCGTGATTTTTGTTGAAGGACTGGGTGTTTCTAAAAATAGAATTATGATGTGTCTCCAAACAATGCACCGTCCCACTTCCGAAGCTTTTTTTTTCTCCCAGATTACTAACACTACTGTTTTGTAAAATAATAAAACAATTGAAACCTTTAACTTCGGTCAATACCTGGATTTATCAACCCGAGAAAAGATATATTGACCTCGGAATGCGTCCTCGGTTAATATATCTTTTCCCGGGTTGATAAATTCAGGTATTGACCTCAGCCAAAGGCTATAA